AGCACAAATGGAGCCACCTCTGTGGCGCTGCCTCCCACACCACTGCCTGTGGGGCACTGCCCCAGCCAGCCTCCCAGCTCCCGCCCCAGCCAGCCTCCCAGCTCCCATCCCAGCCAGCGCCCCCGCTACCATCCCAGTCCAGCCCCTCAGCTCTGATCCCACTCCAGCTCTCTAACACGGGCCCTGTGCTGCCCAGTCCAGCTCCCCAGCTCTGATCCGTCCCCCAGCTTGTCCCTGCACTGGGCATGCCGTGCCCCATGAGCAGCTTGCAGGGCTCGGAAGGTTGTAGCTTGGACAGCATCCCATGCAAGGGGACGGTGTCACCAGCATGGTGACTGCCATGCAGCAGCTCTGTGCTGGCCCTGGAGCACGGGGACACCCAGCCCAGCCTGCTCTGCAAGTGCTGCAGCTCCTCACAACAAGGAGCTCTCTTTGGTGGGGAGACCCAAAAATCACCCCATTTCTACTCCCCGCAGAGCTCAGCTCCAGCAATGCCCCGCGGTGCCACTTGCCATCACACTAGATCCAGTGTGTGGGACGGCAGCTGGGTCACAGGCGTGGTGTGGCATCACTGTCCCTTCCTGTCCCAGCCTGCTCCCAGAACTGTCCCCAGCTGATTCATGTCCTGGGCCCTAATTGCTATTTACACAGTGGCACCAAGTTCACTGAACTGGGGTAGGAAGGTGGTGGCACTGGCCCCACTGGGGCAGTGGCACAGCCAGCCCAGAGCACAGCCCAAGGATGCCAGGAAAAAGGTTGGATGCAGCTCCAGGATGGGCCAGAGGATGGGTCCAGCTCAGGACCCACCCTGAGCAGACACTTTGGGAATGGGATAACTCAGTGGGAATTGGCACTCAGGGAGCTCAGACCTTGGCATCAAGCAGGCTGAGGACAATGAAGAGGGATGGAAGCTTCCTCCTGCGCCCATCCCCGCTGGCCTCAGCCCCTGCAGACAGGGGGAACAGGTCTATCAAGGCAGCCTCCTGCAGCAAGCGCTGCTGCCGCTGACTAATGCCAGGGTGGAGAAGCTCCATGCAACAGCTCACTTCCTCCAGGTCCCACCACCAGCAGCCAATGCCAACACCGAGCTGTAGCGATGCCTGCGTGTGCTGCTCCCTCAGCACGGGGACCCCGGGAGCTGGAGCACCTGGATGAGACGGCAGCTTGGTCCCACACAGGAGCCAGCCAGCAGTATTCCACCAGACTCCTTGCTTCCACTCCAGCACTGGGAGCCTTCACCCCAGCATGGACAGCCAGGCTTCACCCCACCAAACCAATCCCCCAGCAGATGGGTTCCCCCTGCCTGCTGTGGCCCTGCTGCCATCAGGGAGGGGCTGGTTGGATAAATCCACTCGCTCTGCCAGGCCCCTGTTGTGGTTGGGATAATTTCATCCCAGGGATTATGCCGGAGGTGAATCCTTTTGCTGTCTCCTTTATTCAGGCACAGTTTATGGGAAGAGGGAGGCTGGGAGCCAGGCTTATGACCAGGTTTCAGACTGGAAGCGCTGGGACCGTTCCAGAGCTGCTAAATACTCCTCTGCTTCGGAGGGCGACAGGCCACCTTCCAGCTGCAGCACCGACTGCAGGGCTTCGGCCACTGCCGCTGGCATCTGCTTTGCATTCCTGGGGGAGAGAGGAGGTGGTGCAATGGAGAGCAAGCAGGAAAACTGGGGTGTATCTGCAGCTCCAGTGCCCTGGCAAAGCAGGGCAGCATCCCCTCCAGCTGAACCCACCACCCCAGCACACAGCACAGTGGGAACCTGCCTCACCCTGCAAGAGAGGCTGCCTGGCACTGAATCAATGGCAGGCTTTGAGGGGCAGCTCCTGCATTCTCTAGGTAGCAGCACAGGACTTCTCACTGGTGGCATTTGCAGGCACAGACTTGGCAAAGGAGCATCACAGCTCAGTAGCCTTAGCTCTAGCTCCATATTGCTCCATTTCCTATCACCCTCATTAGAGGGACATGGGGAATATGCATGAGGTGTAATTTATCAGTGTGAGAACAGGAAACTGTCCTTTCATCTCAGGAAACACTCAGTGTGGAATGTGTCTGATCCTGAGCTGCTGAGATGACTGCTGCGAAGGAGCAGCCCGCGTCCGTCATCTGCCACCTCCTTGCAAGAGATCTGCAGTGATTGTTCTGATACTTGCAACCAAAGCCACTTCAAACCTCCAAATAAAGAGAAATGGTGAAGAAAATGTGATCTCCTGTGTAGAAAATACCCAAACAGGATACAACTCTTCAAGACAATTAGTTCCCATGGGAAATCAGAAATTCAGACTTTTCCTGGAGAGAGTTTCATTCGATGACCTGACTGTGCAACAAAAAAAACAGGTAATAAAATATTTCCCAGGCTGCTTCAATTGGCACAAGCAGCTGGTAATGTCCTTGCAGTGCCCCAGGAACAAGGCAGAGCTCTGACTTGCGTTTGAAGCTGATTAACATCCCAAAATACACAGAAAGGAGGTCTTCTTTTTTTGGAAGTCGCATTGTTTCTGAGTCAGGCACCAATATGCAAGTCCAAGATCGTGGAGCTGGGCTTGGGATGCAAAACTTGTCAAATAATAGCTATTTTTTGCAGGAAAAAAAAAATTAAGAGACATTTGCAACCTTTTTGCCCCTGGACTCAACCATAGAGAAGATCCAGCCCTGGCTCCCCAAGAGCCTGCCCCAGGCAGCAAGGGCCTGGGAAGGCAGATATACTGTGCAGCATGGGCCAGGGCCAGTGCTCAGGGACACGCAGCCCAGGACCCACTTCCCCATCTTCTCCTGATGTGGCTAAAACTGTCAATACTATTTTTAGGAGAAAAAGAGGCCATTTTGAGGCCAGGCCATCTGCACTTTCCTGTTTGGCATCCACACTGCCAGGTCAGAGTCTGTGGGTCAGGGAAGGGCACTGTGATCCTGGGTATCCATCAGTGTGGTGTGGGCTGGTCAGAATAGGTGGGGAAGTGCCCACTGGGAACAGGACAGTTGCCATTTGTACAAGGATGAGGCTCTCAGATCATAGAATCACAGCCTCATTTGTGTTGGGAAGAATGTTAAAGCTCATCCAGCTCCAACCCCCTGCCATGGGCAGAGACATCTTCCACTAGAGCAGGTTGCTCCAAGCCCCTGTGTTCAACCTGGCCTTGAACACTGCCAGGGATGGGGCAGCCACAGCTTCTCTGGGCATCCTGTGCCAGCGCCTGAGCACCCTCACAGGCAAACCCCTGCAATGGGGAGAGCTGTGCAAACCCTGCTCTTTCCAAGACACTGATCCCTTTTTGTTCCTGTCCCCAGCGTGCCTCCATCAGTACCAGAAAGTAGCAAAGAGGACAGAAGAGGGAGAGGACAGAGCCATCAAGACACCATGCCCAGTGGCCCCCAGGAGCTGCCCAATGGTCTCAGCATTTGGGCTGTGGATGGTGGCACAATTGCAAGTCCCAAGTGCAGCTTGATGAAGGAAATGGAACCCAAACCCCAGGTCCATGGGAAAGAATGGCTAGTTTGGGATAAGGGCCCCAGGAAGCCCCGTGGAGCAGCGAGGCACAGCACAGCAGGGGCAGTGGCCAGGCATCTGCTTCCTGGGCAGCAACCAAGAATGTCCCTCTCCCAGGAATGCAGCAAGGCCAGTCCCACCCCACGAGGCACCAGGGAAGTTCCTGCTCTCGTGCAGGACAGGCAGGGAAAAGCCTCCTGCAATTGCTGCTCATGTCAACAGCAAGGCCCAGGGTTGCACAGCGCTTCCCAGGTCACTGCGTGCATGACAAACACCATCCCCAGCCTCTTGCCAGCTCAAGGAGCCCAAAGCATTTCACAACTCCCACCCTGGGCAGCGGGGAGCAGCCTCCTCCCTCCAGCCATACAGGCAGCAACAAGGGCAGGTGGGTTAAGGGCTTTGTCCAGGAAAAGAGCCAGCAATCAAGGAACGGAGCTGCAGATGCTCTGCCTCCAAAGGCCAGGCCCCATGTTTTGGCCAACAGGTCAAGATTTCCAACCAGTCCAAGCCTGGTGAATGGTTGTGCTGCCAAAGGAGGCATTCTGCAGTGCAACATGGCTTGTCCCTGTCCCAGGAAGACAGTTCTGAGTGCAAAGAGCAAGTCAGAATGTGCCAGGAGTCCCAAAAGCTGCTGCCCACAAGCCCCAGCACTGGTGCAGCCCTGGTTGATTGTGCTTTAAAAGCCTCCTGCCCATGTAAGTGGCCACAGGAATCACAGAGGCCTTTCTTCCAGTTTCACTGGGTCCTGCTGGAGGAGGGGGTGTGAGGAGGCCAGGCAGGTGCTGGCATGACTCTGGTCATGGGTGCTGGCAGTTAGAGGGGTGGGCACATGTGGTCAGTTAGAGCAGCTTTACCACAGTTGTGGCTCTGCCCCTCCTCATCAGAGCGCAGGGTAGGTGAGAAATGGGCCCACGGTCCAAGGCTTGTAGAGCAGGACATGTGGAGAGGAAGGAGCTGGTCCCACTGCAGCAGCTGCTGCAGCCCTACAGACCTGCTGAGCTGAGGGAATGGCTCTGGGGACATGGGAAGCAGCAACATGCAGCCCCACTCCCTCAATCCCGGAAGAGCCCTTGCACTCACCCAGCCAGGTAGACATGAGCATTCCTGCTGCTCAGCAGATCCCCC